CGAGTTCCCCGAGCTCCCGCCTATGACGGCTGCCATGGCAACGGCACTGGGCTCCGCCTCCGGAGGGGTTTGTTTGCACAGTCTGCAGCTGTTGCTCCTGCCTGGCTGGTGGCGCCGGGCGCCTTCCCGGCCCCGCTCCAGCTTCTCCCGCGCTTTACAGCCAACCCGCCGGGTCCTTCGGGCTGCGGCTCGGCTGGATCCCCACTAAAGCTACTTTTAAGAGACCCGGAGTGGATACGTCTTAGAAACGAGTTACCGCTTTCTGTCAAGTTGCCGATGACTGAGATTTACATCCCCGAGGTTACAAATGTTGGCCTTTCATCTTTTTATAGGCTGAAGGGGATACTAAAGGAGATAAAGCCAAGGTGAAGGACGAGGTGAGTGTTGTCCATATAGGGCTTGTCGCACAGGCCGTGGGTGGTAAACACCACGGGGCTCCTTCCGTAGTATTTGACCACAGCCCCAGTCTGGAAGTTGCCCTAGAGTTTTCCATATTTGCTCTCCTTAACCTGGGAGGAGAAACTGGGGTGAAACTTGTGCCTATTTTTCTGACTTTGTTTTTATTTTAATAGCCACAGAGAAGATCTGCAAGGTTGTCTGCTGTAAGTATATTTTGAATTCCTCATGCTTATTACTCTGAGGTTGGGAAACATTTTTGGGATTCCCTTTGGATTCATTGAATTGCAGTTCAGTTTGTGGCTGGTTTGGAATAAATTACCTTGTGGTGGTACACATCTGGAGTTCACTGTTGTCTTAAGTTCTGATGGTAGTGACCAAAGTGGAAGGTCACTTTTAAATTGTAAAAGAAAGGCAATCCCAAATGATAGGAGCTTTCCTAGCTGTGGTGTGGTGGGCTGTTTCTTTTGGTCCATCATACTAATAGTTTCCTCTTCTCCTCTGCCTCCCAAAATTAGAAACCTGCTCCTCCAAAGCCAGAGCCCAAGCCTAAAAAGGCCCCTGCAAAGGTAAGCAGGACCCAGAGACTTCGGAGCTGATACTAGTTTGGTGATTTTCACAGAAGGAGAACTATCCTTCACCTCCTTAATCATCATCATGGTGACTCTTATCAGTGGATGTTGTAAGTTATTTCCATAGCCTCATTCCTGGTATTTGTCATGTTAGGATCCTTGGCATAAATTACAAAACACTACCCTTGTCTGTTAAACAAGGATTTCTAGTTAATGTAGTCTGTAACTCATGTTTAAATGACTTTGTATGCTGAGGACCACAAGTTATAATTTAGCTTACTGTAGGGGGTGTATCCAGTAGCCAAGCCTGCTTTGCAGAGCCTGGTAGGTTATCTCCTGGTATACAAAATGAAAAACTGTTCTATCCATCCTTCCTTGGTTTTAGAAGGGAGAGAAGGTACCCAAGGGGAAGAAGGGGAAAGCAGATGCTGGCAAGGATGCAAATAACCCTGCAGAAAATGGAGACGCCAAAACAGACCAGGTACAGTTGTAGCTAGATCTTCATTGGGTGTGCACTCAGTGAGTCATCTATCCTGAAATTGTTTATTATATCTGGATAGGTCTGGGTGTGATGTGATTTTTTTTTTTTTCCTGTCCCAAATCCTCAGTTGTAAAAATCTGTTATAATCTACAAGGCACAGGCTGTGTTGGCTTGTCCTGAGTGTCACTCGTGCTGTTCCATGAAATTTTAAAGCTGGAAGTGACCTGGGGTCTTCTGATCTCTCTTCCTAGTCAGTTAGTGGAGGGGGTGATTTAGTAAAGTTGACCACTGGGTGTGCTTCAGACTTGGTGTCTTTACGTACCCTAAAACTGCAAACAGTGATACCATGTATTGATTATAAGCAAAGATCAATTTTAATTTGCATGTTGACTTTACCTGTCTTTCTTTTAGGCACAAAAAGCTGAAGGTGCTGGAGATGCCAAGTGAAATGTGTGCATTTTTGATAACTGTGTACTTCTGGTGACTGTACAGTTTGAAATACTATTTATCAAGTTTTATAAAAATGCAGAATTTTGTTTTACTTTTTTTTTAAGCTATGTTGTTAGCACACAGAACACTTCATTGTTTTGGGGTGGGGAAGGAACATGTGTCACTAACAAAATGTCTCCTAAGCTGGATTGATTGATGGTTGATGGAAAACATCTTTCCTTGACAATTTAGAAAGTTTTCTCTTGGCTCAGGAGAGACGTCCTGGTGTTGACATATGTGGCCGCCATGGCACAGAATGCCTTGTGTG